TTCTTGTTTTCTAAGTTTTCTTTTTTTCTTGTTATTAACAGAAGTAATAAAGTTTTAGCTTGATCTTTAAACTTGTGTAATGTGATTGATCAGATACTTGACGATGTTTCTAAACGAAGCATGACGAATAACTTAGACTTATTATATGGCAGAGTAGAACTTTTACTTGCATATAATAGAGTTGAACTAAGTTAGTGATGTTTCTAGGCGAAACATGACGAATAACTTAGATTTATTATATGGCAGAGTAGAACTTTTACTTGCATATAATAGAGTTGAACTAAGTTAGCGATATTTCTAAACGAAACATGACGAATAACTTAGACTTATTATATGGTAGAGTAGAACTTTTACTTGCATATAATAGAGTTGAACTAAGTTGGGATAACCTAGACTCAAGTACATATCAGTCAGTTTGACTTGTTAAAATTTGAGAAAAATTTATAAGTTGAAGTTAAACCGAGGTCATGTTTAACACTTGTTGAAATTTGAGAAAAATTTACAAGTTGCAATTAAACCGAGGTCATGTTTAACACTTGTTGAAATTTAAGAAAAATTTACAAGTTGAAGTTAAATCAAGATCATGTTTAACACTTGTTGAAATTTAAGAAAAATTTACAAGTTAAAGTTAAATCGAGGTCATGTTTAACACTTGTTGAAATTTGGAAAAAATTTACAAGTTGAAGTTAAACCGAGGTCATCGTTAAATACTTGTTGAAATTTTTTAGAAAAATTTACAAGTTAAGCCAAGGTTGTAACCGAAAAAAAGTACTTGCGCACTTGCCGAGATAAAAGCGTTGGTTTGTTTAACTGAGGTATATCACCTCGAAAAGATTGCACAGTTAAGGTGTATGAAGAAGAACATACAAGCATCAAAAAGAAAGGAAGTTGTATTTACATTCGAAAGAATGCACGTCGGCCAACTAAAAGCTTTACATAATCAAAATACAAGGAACAGAAGAAAGGAGAAAAACATCAAAGCTAAGACTCTTCGGCGTCTCTGGCTGGTTGGGTCTGGAGTTCAGAAGACAGTGAGAAGACATCTCGGCGGCCCTATCAGCCGCGAGCTCGGCATCGATTTCTTGAAGAGTTTGGTCAAGGCTCTTGTCGGCAATAGGCGCGTCCGAGGTTACCTTCTCAGGAAGAGTGTCTTTGGAGACCTCACCTTCCTCATCCTGAGTCAAGTCCAAGACTTACTCATTCAGAGTAGGGGATTTGGCCCTAGCAGCTTCCTTCGTCTTCTTGACCAAAGCTTCCTCCTCAGACTCAGAATCGTCTTCGGATTGGCTTGGAGTAAGGGGGAATGGCAAGGGGAGGTCGCCGACATTCTTGAGGGAGGAGTCCTCAGGGACATCTAGCTTTTTGAGGACAGCCATCCAACCAAGGGTGAAACCCTTATTGCATGCCTGCCTCACTTGCTTCTTGTAGTCCTCCTTGACGTCAGTCGCCCCCTCAGTGTACACTTTTTCATCAGCAGCCTTGATCTCGGTCGCTTTGGTGGCTAAGGCAGCTTGAAGCTCCTTTTCGGCCTCGACCATGTTTTCTTCAGCCTCGTTCTTTTCGGCCGTAAGGACCTTGGCAATGGCCTCGGCAGCATTAGTCTTTTTCTCGGCCTGATCCTTAGCTTTAATGGCTGTTGCGGCTTGGTCGGATAAATTTTTCATCTTGGCCTCAGTCTTTTTGATGGTCTTTTACAAACCAGAGACCTCCCCAATCTTGTCGGCCAACTCCTTCCTCATTTCAAAAGCTTGCATTGAGAAGGAGTGGGCGTGCTAGATCGCCTGAAAGAAAATAGACAGAACAAAAGTTAGTAGAAGTTCTAAAAGTATGAAAGAATAGAGAAAGAAAAATACCAAGTGTAAGAGACTTACTTGAACAGAATGCTGGAGCACCAGAGCGAAGTTTTCATACTCGCTCATCTCGACGTTTCGGTTAAGATCGTTTGGAAGGAGCAAAGCCGTAGAAAGGGCGACGCCGACTTCGAGATCAGTCGCACTGTCGCCAGCTCTGACTGGCTTGTCATCGATGGTGATCGGAGGGGCCCAGAGGGCATCTGGCTTCATTGGCCTCGAGGTTGTGGCCGACTCAGACCTTGGCCTTTTTGACCGAGTGGATTGGGATGGTTCGGCCTCGGCGGGCCTCTTTTCAGCGGCAGAAGTGGTCTTTTCACTCTCAGCCAATTTTGAAATTGGCAAGGTGTCCTTAGTATCAATTTGAGTCACTGTTGCCTTTGGCTGAGCCTTCTTTAGTCTTTTTTATTTCGGCATTGGTTGAGGTTGAGATGGTGCTGGTTGAGCATTAACAGTGGTAGGAATGTCGGCCAAAAGATCCTCTGCGACTGTTTTTTTGCAGCCCATCTCGGCAGCGATTGCAGTTCGGCGTCTTCGTCGGCGTTGAGATAGAGGGATCAGATATGGAGCCGAAGTTGATAGTAGCTCGGCTGGATCAGAAGTTGATCCCTGATCTAGCCGCGATGATGAAGTTGTCGGAGGTGTAGTGGCGGACGGAGGAGACTTGCTCTTCTTCTTTTTCGGAATGTCGGGAAGAACCAACTTGTAAGTCGAGATGAAGTTGAGCAGTAGAGGGGCTTTCCGTTTGTGAACTGGCAGGTCTAACAGCTTTTTCAAGCCTTTGCTCAGGAAAAAGGACTTGCGGAAATCCTTTGCCGACTGGGGAAGAGCTGCAAAGAAAACAAACGTTAGAACGAAAAAAAGAACAAAGTATTGCAGACTTTGAAAACAAGTAGGTATAAGTACTTGGCTCTTATCATTACCCTCTACGAAAATTGTTCGGCTAAGTGGGTAGAGGTGGAGGTCCTCATCTGGAGCGAACTCCTAGTTTCCCGAGACGATAAAGTAATCGTTCCCAGCTCCCTTGTTGGAGTCTGGGAGGTCAGCAACAATTTTGTATTTAGTGGACCTCGGTTTAAGGTCACACATGGTGTAGCAATATTGGATATCGGCTAAAGTTACCCTAGCATTCTCTTGTTTGGCTAAGGCTATTATACCATTGATAACTCGGTAAGAGTTGATGGCAAGCTGCATTGGGTTCAATTTATAGTAATGAAGGATTTCTCGGAAAAAATGATGTTGAGTGGGAGCCTAAGTCCACACTCTATGAAAGCTACAACGGGGATGGGTATAGAATCGATTATGGGCATCATGGAGTCATCCTCCCCAACCAACCTCAGATGGACGTCGGCTGGGATGAAAAAGTCCCGCCTGAAATATTCCAACTTGGTTGGGGTATCTACCCTATGCTTCCACATACCCATGATATCGGCTTAAGGGGAGAGTATTGGATTTCGGAAGGAAGTGTTTTATAGGGATCTGAAATACCTCGGCTAAAACCTAAATATGTACTATGGTAAGAATTTGTGTGGATCTAAGAGGAATTTGTGTCAGTTCTTCCTAAGGTTCGTAAGTTCTATAGACAAATCCCAAACCTAGGTTTGGGCAAACAAGGATTGAACGCAAGAATCTGGAAAAAACACAGAAAAAAGAAAACAATAATGCGATTCAGAGTCAAGAACAGTGATGAATCATCAAGAACACAGTAGTAAAGCTTGTACAGGTGTATGAAGCCAAGAACAGTGGCAAAAATCAACAGATGTATAAGCAATGTAAGTATTCAAGAAAGGATTGGGCAAAAAACAGAATCACGAAGTAAACATGCTCAAGCACATGGTGGAAATCGAGGTACAGATTAATCGATCAAAGACATGAGCAAGTTCGCAAATATGACAGAGTTCGAAGTAAATCAAGAATAGAATCAAAGAAAGGAACATTGACTCACCGAAGAAAAATGAGGCCAAAGTAAAGTTCGCCGGGATCAGACGGTGGCCGAAAGCAAGGAAGTGCAGCAGAAGCCTCGCCGGAGGGGAGAGTAAGACTGGTTGTAGAAAAAAATTGACGGAAGCAGCAATGGGGAAATTGAGAAGGTAAGAAAGAGAGAGTTTGAACAAAGACGATGACGTGAAGTGAAAAGACGAAGAAAGAGGGAACAAGTTTTGTCAAAAATGCGAAGAGGCGACAAAATGCAATTGATGTACCTAGAACGACGTATTTGTCAGACGGCGGACGCAGGCGTGTGGCGACTTAATGGCACGTATCAGACATGGCCCAATGGGAGACAAATGCGTGTGAGAAACGGTTGAAATGTTGTGCGTAATAGCTCATGCACGTGATAAAACTCTTGGAGTTCTTAATCTAATGAAGCAATGACCTCGGCTGGGAGGAATATCTCGGCTAAATAACTTGAACAAAATTAGTTATTGGCTCTAAGGCCTTGATGAGACAGAATACAGGTCCTGGTCGTGTGAAGCCGACGAATTATGACCTCGGTAATGAAGGATAGAGCCAGCTTAGCTGACTTTCTAGACGGTTTGCAGGGATAGGTTCCATCACCTGAGGATGCTGAGGTAATATAACCTAGGGGACAGTTGTGGGGACATATTTTTTGAGTACCAACACGTGGCCAAAGTGATACCGAAGTGTCAGCCGAGGTGATCTCGGCTAGTCCGAGGTTATCTCCGAAGATATCAGAATCCGGGATAAGCGGATAAGGGACAAGAGTCCTAGAATAGAAGAGGACTTCAGTTTGGATAAAGATAAGACTCTTACAGAGTTTATGTCAATCCTATTGACAGTCCAAGATTAGCAGTAATCCTAAGTCCATTAAAGCTAGGCTTCTATTGAGATTAGGTAAGTGTTGGCTATAAAAGAGAGGCACCCTCATGGGTCTAAGGTACGCTTTTTATGCTTTGAATAGTGAATTGAACACTTTTTCTATCTTTGAGAGATAACTGACTTGATCATCAGAGTGCCCCCGGGTGGACGAACCACCGCCGGAATCTCTTCTTTCTATTGCTAGTCATTCAAGTGCCATCTAGTGTGGTCAGAAATTAACACACACAAATAATAATAATTTAAAAAATAACATTAATGCAAACCCAACTAATACAACCTAATTTGCAAACCCAACCTCTGCACGTAAGATAGAACAAGTGATTCACACACACGTTATTTGTGCAACTCCAAAAAAAAAATACACATGCATATATAATGTGTGTTACTTAAATGATAAGTACATCTATTATTACATCCGTGATCATAGGTTTAAGACCTATTCTACTCTTTGCAACACTAGCAACGTTTATCAATTCAACGATAAAAAGGACACATTAAATAAAATAGAAAAAAGTTAGGGAATATGAAATTTTTTTCATGAAAATGATCACGAAAGAGTTATGATCCTTGGATTATCTTGATTAGTGTGTTGTACTTTATTCTAAGTGTAATTCAAGAGTCACAAAACTTTCATGATTATTTTTACGAAAGGTTTTTCATAACACCTAACATTGCTGAAATGTGGGTGAAGATTAGTTTAATCATGTCAATTTGGATGGTTCAAAAAAGTAAGGGAATGATCCAATGTTGCCAAGGTCCACAGGAAACCTATTAATCTCATCGCTCCATGGATTCCTATCCTTGCAATCAATGGTCCTGATGGCACGCCAAATCACACTAGCGCACTTGAACCCAGATCCAAAGGCCATCTGCCACACACGATCACCCTCCTTGATCCTCCCCTTGGCCTCGACATAGGCAAGTTCATACCACACTGTACTACTAGAAGTATTTCCAAATCTATACAGTGTCATTCTAGAAGCTTCCATATCAACTTCACTCAACCCGAAGTTTCTCTGCAGTTCGTCCAGTACCATTTTCCCTCCAACATGTGGCAAGAAGTGATCAAAAGCTCTCTTGAAATCAGGAACGTAGGGCTTGATGTCTGCCACGTGGAGCTTCCTTATGATGTAGTTTAGGAAAGAGAGGACTTGTTCAGATATGGGAAGGAGTAGGGGACCTAGTGTGGTTATGTTGGATTCAATGGCTTTGGTTGCCGATGTCAAGAGATCTTTGGTGGTAGTGACACCCAAGTGTCCTTCTCGATCTTCTTCTTGGAAGATGCAGTTGTATGAAGGGTCAAAACTTGCTGTGTGGGTGTGGACGGTGTGGATAAGCTGATATTTTGATGAGCGATGATCTGACAATCGATTGGAGAGGAGGATTGCGGCTCCACCAACCCGGAACAAGCAATTGATTAAGATTTTTGAACGGTCATTGCCAAAGTAGCAATTTTGGGTTAAGTTCTCTGTACTCACTACTAAAGCATACGAGTTTTGGTGCACCTGTTCAACATATATATTATATAAATAATCCATCAAAAAAAATAATCAAAATTAATAAATTGATGTGGCAAATTAGTTGTCCCCATCATTCAATTTTATTTAATTTCAGTGATCTGTTTCAAATAGAAATGTTTTGTTGCTAGACGTCACATCAATTTATAAGAAAATGTATTTAAAAACAAAAAAAAAAAAAAAAAAAAAGAAAAGAAAAAAAAAAAAAAAAAAAAAAAAAAAAAAAGAGAAGAGAAAATTGCACATCATTTTCTTGTAGAAAAAAGAAAAATTGCACATCACTTGCACTATTGCACATCAATATTATACATGCTTTTCACACTGCACTATTGCACATCAATATTATACATGCTTTTCACACATACAATGATGCATATCAATTGATATGTAAATTTGATATAAAACTTTGGTTTATCATAATATTACTCAATTTTTATCCCAAAAAAAAAAAAAAAATTAATGTGATAATATTTTTAAGATTATCAATTATGATAGCATATCTTTTTGTTTTAAAACATAAAAATATAAAATCACATGTAGAAAAAAAAGTATACAAAAATTCTTATTTACTCTTTTGTAATTAATTCTTTGGACAAACAAGTACAGATCGAGGCCTAGTAATTAATGTCTGTGTGTGCGTTTATGCACATGTGTATGTATGTATAGATAAAGTTTATTTTTTTGCTATAAAAAAATATATAAATATATAAAAAGAGAGCTATATATTGCTGACTTTTTAGCATAATGAAGTACCAAATTATATAAATTTTTATTATTAACTCGAGTTGTCTATAAACAAATAAAGAGTAAACTAGGAGCACAACACCACTGGGGGTGGTGATGTAGTGGAGAAAGTAATTCTCTTCACCAGGAATGACCCGGGTTCAAATTTTGGGAGGTGCGAAAAATGATTGGTTTTAACTAGTTTTCTTTGAAATCTTGTACTATATTCTAATTGATCCTAGATTCTGATCCTCGATTCTGTTAGTGTCTGGCTGAGCTCTATTGATACCTTGGTAATGAATCTCTTCCTATGGATTAGATATTACCAATCTCTTCCTATGGATTAGATTAAATATGACCGGCAACTGGCTACCCCAAAATCAAGGCCCACAGATAAGGTGATGACACCATAGAACATCTTTTTTTCCTTGTTCACAAAAAAAAAAAAAAAAGCCCTAGGAGCACAATGAGCTCAAAAAAATTTTATGCAACTGAATTATTGAGTTTATATAATTTCCCAAGATAATGAAAAAAATAATAATTATCATATATATCGACTAAAAATCAAAATCAGAACTGAAAAGGTAAAAGGTTGTTAAAATCGAGGTCTTACGTTGGATTGTTGGAGGTGTTTATATGATCGGATCGTAAAATCGAATTGAATATCGTAAGATCCTACAAAAAGGCAAATTACGTAATAATTTAATTTAAATAAATATTTCTTGAAAAGTATACGCAAAATAAACTCTACTAAAAAGAAGTGAAGATATTGTGAAAAATATAATACTTTATGTAAAATGTAAACATAATATTATACAATAGAAAGGCGCTGTTTGGGAATGGTGGGTTGAGTCTATTATAGCCTGAAATGAGAAATAAGCTAAAAAGCAAAACTGTTCAAAGTTTTTCAAAAAAATAAAAAATAAAAAATAAGCTCAGCGCCGAACAGTGTAGGCCTACACTGTCACAGCCTCAAAAGTCATCATCAACGGCTAAATTACCATTTTACCCCTTTACATCAATTTAAAAAATTATAATTTATGGACAAATTTGTCATTTTAAATTAAAACATCATTTCAACACACTTTTCAATACAACAACTCAACTAAAAATTCATCTCATCTTCCCAAACACAAAATCTAAAATAGCTTACTAAAATAGTCAAAAAGCCAAAAAACTTCTAAAATAATCACTTCCCAAACGAGGCCAAACTGGATGATAATATTATCTTAATATTACTCAATTTTTATCCCCCCAAAAAAAATTAATGCAATGATATTTTTAAGATTATCAATCGTGATAGCATATCTTTTTGTTTTAAAAAATAAAAATATAAAATCACATGTAGAAAAAATAGTATACAATTTTTTATTTTTTTATTTATTTTTTTGGTTACAGGAAAATCCTCCCACCCTCCCGCAGGTCCAAGGCAGCGCCCCATGAGGAGATCACCAGGGTGTCCTATTGTCCGTTCCGAATAAGAGACTATAACCTGAAAGCTTGTCCCGACCTCCCACACAAAATTTTTATTTACTCTTTTGTTATTCTTTGGACAAACAAGTACAGATCGAGGCCTAGTAATTAATGTCTATGTGTGCGTTTCTGAACATGTGTACGTATGTATAGATAAAGTTTATTTTTTGTTGATAAAAAAATATATAAATATATAAAAAGAGAGCAATATATTGCTGACTTTTTTCATAATGAAGTACCAAATTATATAAATTTTTATTATTATAACTTGAGTGGTCTATAAACAAATAATGAGTAAATTAGGAGCACAACACTATCGGGGTGGTGATCGAGTAGAGAAAGCAATTCTCTTCACAGGGATGACCTAGGTTCAAATCTTGAGAGGTGCAAAAAAATGGCTAGTTTCAACTAGTTTTCTTTGAAATCTTGCACTATACTCTAATTGACCCTAGATTTTGTTAGTGTTTAGCAGAGCTCTATTGATACCTTGGTAATGAATCTCTTCTTATGGATTAGATTAAATATGATCGGCAACTAGCTACTCCGAAATCAAGGCCCACGGATAAGGTGATGACACCATAGAACATCTTTTTTTCCTTGTTCACACAAAAAAAAAAAGAGAAAAAAAAAAACTAGGGGCACAATGAGTTCAAAAAAATTTTATGCAACCAAATTATTGAGTTTATATAATTTATATAGTTTCCCAAGATAATGAAAAAAATAAAAATTACCATATATATCAACTGAAAATCAAAATCAGAACTGAAAAGGTTGTTAAAATCGGGGTCTTACGTTGGATCGTTTGAGGTGTTTATATGATCGGATCGTAAAATTGGATCGAATATCGTAAGATCCTACTTAAAAGGCAAATTATGTAATAATTTAATTTAAATAAATATTTCTTGAAAAGTATACACAAAACAAACTCTACTAAAAAGAAGTGAAGACATTATGAAAAATATAATACTCCATATAAAATGTAAACATAATATTATACAATAGAAACTAGATGGTAAATGTTTTGCATTTCATCAAAAAAGAAAGTGAAGAAGAAGAATTCTATAACGTAATACTTTGTAAACTACAACAATGCATAAAGAGTGAAGAACTAATATTTAACAAAGTCGAATATGAAAATAGATTGAGAAGTCAAAAGAGCAGCTTAACCGAATAATAAAGTTTGTCATTAGCATCCTTAGTGGAACGGCTTCAAGTCATGAAAATTGTCTCTCAAAAAATTGGGATAAAGTTTCAATCATTTTATTCTCCTTAAACCTCACTAAAACTAAGTTTGTTTTTTTGAGTACAAAGTTTTTTTAAATTGGTATTATATTAAATGTTTGTTTCCTAGATAAAAAATAAATAAAAACTTCTTAGCTTACTTTTTTCAAACGTGACAACGTGACAAGTATGATATGACACTTTAAAAAAAATTAAAAACTGCTTAGTGTATTTTTCCCAAACATGACACGTGGCACTCTAATATGGCAGGTATGATGTGACACTCTAAAAAAATTAAAAACTCTTTAGTATATTTTTCTAAATGTGACATTATAATGTGACGGATATAATTTAAAAAACTTTTAGTGCATTATTTTTCAAATGTGACACTTTAATGTGACAGGTAAATGAGTCATTAAACATCCAAAAGAACTAAATGGATTACAAAAAAAAAAATGAGATTATATGAATTACAAATCCAAAATATAAAATTTATTGGTCAATCTCCCTATTTGTTTATTTTTTATATTCAGTTGGACTACATAAATTAATATTTAGACAACAAATATAAATACAATAAAATAGATTATAAAATATAAAATAATGCTTATAAATTAGATCGGATTCGGATCAAAATTTCACAATTTTATAAGATTCCATCACCAAGATCGAAAGATTTTACTTCTAAAAAAATTATATACGATCTGAATCGATTATCACTAAATGGATTGTAAGAGCATCTCCAATGGTTGTTGCTATAATACCATTAATTGCTATTGCTATCATTTGACAATGAATAATATTATTTTGTCAAATTATAGCAATGGTGCTCCAATGGTCACTTATTATTTTGACAATTCTCAACCAACTTTCCTTCTAAGTTTGTAGACGTTGTTTGGATATAGATTTTTTTGTAATTTTATTTTTGTTTATTTTTTATCTTTTATGACCTTTTTTTTAACTATTTGTAAAAAAAATTATATATTTATATTATTTCCGACTAGACATATATAAAAAATTAGAAAAATTAGAAAAAATATAGTATATATAATTAAATTTGAAAAATTACTTGATTTTCTACTGTTTCAATTTTGTTTTTTTAACTGAATTTGGAGCCACAAATATGTTCATATTTGCTAATGTGACATGTTTAGCAATTGCTATTTTACTTGTCAAATTTGATAACAGATATGGCATATACCATCTTTAATAAGTAAAATAGCAAACCATTGAAAACTCACTTTTTATCACTATTGTTATATTATACCTTTAACAAATATTTTGAAAGTTTCATGGGAGATGCTCTAAGATAGTAAGATTTGAATCAAAATTTTGATAGCCATAAACTGAAGTAAATAACAATAAAACCGATTGTTCTACCGGTTTCTTTAAACACCCACAAGGCATAACCTTTGAACTTTCAAATTTTAAATAATTTTTGTGAGTTAGTAATATTATTTTTAAGATATAAATAAAGCTAGCTACCTGAAGAAGCTGTTTGGCAAGGCCAATGGCTAAAAGTCCAGCGGTGCATCCCATCCCAGTAAGATTATAGCTTGCAATATTGTCTCTAAGCTTGTATCGATTCACTATCCAGCTTGAAAGAGAAGGTGTCACGTTAAAAATACAACAATTTACTATTAATATCCCAATATCTTCAAATTTCACTTTGGTCTTCGCTAGTAGTTCGTCTAGGGCTCCAAAAATCACCATCTCCGACTCTCTCATCGCCTCTTCCATGGACACGTTAGGAGGGTCTTTCAAGAAGGCCTCGGGCAAGTAGGTAGAGTCGCCGAGCCCTGCTCTCTCCATCATCATCTTCATGAACTCCAAAGTCTCTTCTTTCATATTTCCGTAACGTTTGGCTTGGGCCACGGTGACCTCTCTGGTGACGGACTGAGCAATCGGGGGCTTATAACATGCGAAATCTAACATAAACACTTTGCGCGAAGGTTTTGCGATGAAAATACGTGACACGACAAGCATTGAGAGCATGAGTATTAGAAATGGTGCACTCAAACAGTTGAAATTGATTGGCATGACCAGATCGGTGAACATGAAGTCTAGGAGATCCAATGGGGTGACAAGGGTTAACCTTTCTCTTTCTCTTTTCTTTTCTTTTCTGTGTGAGAGAGGAATGAATGGAAAGAAAAAAGTTTTGTTTTGTATATTTGATACTCCCGTTTTATCAAAATACTATGTATAGGTAGAGTTTTGTAGATGTGATTTGAGAGTATGAGTTGTATTTTAAATTTGTATGTTGTGAAATTATGATTTGAGTATAGAAAATTTGTTTGGCAAAGAGTTTTGATTTGAGTGGAAAATTGTTGATGTGACATTTGAAATTTGATACAAAAATTTACAACTCATACAACTCAAAATTATTTAAAGAACATAAAAAATTTTAGAAAATTTTAGAAAATATTTTTTTTGATTATATATCAATTGCAAAAAAAAAAAAATCACTATTCCGGTCAATTGGCCGGACGTCCCGTTTTGAAAAAAAAATTGAAACACACGTTCGGTTTTAACAGAACAGACAGAGCGTTTTGCAGAGTTGTGGAAAATTAATTCCACAGCTCCATCCAAACACCATACTCAAGCTACCACGTTGAATCACATTTTGAAATCACAACCAAATACAGCCTTAGTCTTTTATTTATTTTTTATTATTTTAAAATATTAAATTTTTCAAAAAAAATTAAAAATTAAAAAATTATAAATTTTCATTTTTTTATTCTTTTAAATTTATTAATAACATAAAAAATATAATTACGATAAAAAAAATGCTGTACGTCTCAAAAAATGGAACTAAGCAAGCTGAGATGTCTGGAACACAACTGGAAGTAATGCTGTACGTCTCAAATTTTCTACCAAACAAATGATTAAATATCTCACATGCGGACCACACACCCATGTAAGACATTTGATCATTTATTTAGTAAAAAATTTAGTGTCCCTAACATTATTCTTATGATAATTAATATTATCAAAAAAATATACTATCAAAAAGTAATTTTATAAAATTAATATTTTTAAAATATAATAATTATATTGACAAAAAAAATTAAATTTCTCAAAAAAAACCATTATTTTGAGGCGGATTAAAAATTCTAACACTGTATTTGGTTAGAGAATTTAAAAAATAATTTGAAAATAGAAATAAAAAGAAGATAAAATATGAATAAAATATATTTATATTTTATTTAGTTTTATATATTTTTCTAAATTTTTTCTCAAATCTTCTTAGGCCTCGTTTGGAAACATGCTAATTTAGTAACTTTTTTGCTATTTGGCTAAAATATGAGCTAAAAAAAATAGTATGTTTGGGATGACTTTTTGGATTTTTACGAAAAGATGTGTAAAAAGTAGAGAAAAAATATAATCTTTAACTTTTTGGTATGGATTGTTGGCTTTTTGGCTTTTTTAGTAACTTTTTGACTTTTTGGCTAATCCGGCATGTTGCCAAACGAGGCCAGAAAGTCAAGAACCCATACCAAAAAGTCAAAGATTCTATTTTCTCTTTACTTTTTGCACATCTTTTCGTAAAAAGTCAAAAAATCATCCAAAACATACTAATTTTTTTAGCTCATATTTTAGCTAAATAGCCAAAAAGTTACTAAATTAACATGTTCCTAACTTTTTGACTTTTTTACTAAACAGAAAGTGTAACGCCCTCAAAATAAACCCATTATATGTATATCATCAACATGCATTATTTAAAAAAACAATTTATTAATTCATTCATCAGAGTATTACTAAATAAAAACATTACATGTAACATCAAATTAAATGCCATATGGGCTTACATCTTTCCAAGCCAACACTTGGACACAAAATAAGAGTTCTAACTCAAATACAAATAAAGCCCTCGGCTTGATTATTTATCAAATAAAAACAAACAACTAAAGATAGTCTTCAAAATCCAAATCTTTCCAAGCTAAGTCCTGGGAGGTAGCTTATCACCTGGACCTGAAAATGATGTTCCCATAAAGGGTGAGCCACAGCCCAGTAGAAATATACTAAACCAAATATAAGCATTGAATAAAGCATTAGTATTTAATAGATGGTTAACCAAGATAATCAATTACATCATTATACAGTCTCATGACACTAATGTCTAAAACACGTTTTACTTTCCAACATTATCAATATGGCTCAGAACCTGGCCAAACTTACAACAGTGAACTATATATACATCATATTCACATTCTTCCAATGTCAACAAACAATTGAGACTCAGGCTCAAATCAAATCACTTCATACTTCCAGTATGATACACATTTTAGTGTTGTATCAATAAAACACTTCAATATAAATAAGCACACATAAAAGTGATGCTAATGGAGTCCATCCCCTATCTCCTCCCAAACAAAATCCGGTTTAGAGGTCCATCCCCTATCTTCCCCTAAACCGTGGAGTACATCCCCCATCTCCTCCCACACACAAAACAATGTATGCAAATGCAATGCTCAATCAACACACGTATTTTCTGTATCAATGCCACAGTCAAAATTAATGACTTAACCAATGTGATTAGTTTCAGTTATTCCTAATCCACATGCAATGTCTACAACAATCACGACTATCCTCCACCGATAGCCCAAAACAGTTATTTCTAAACTGAAAATAACTATGTCAACAATTCAATAAACAAATGATTCAAATTATCCAACTACGCCATTTAATCAATGAATTCCCCAATTCCATGAATTAAACCATCTTTTCCCAACTCCATGAATTAATTATACAAATTAATTTAATAATACAACTAGGGTTTTTCCCAAAATTCTACTCTCTCACTCTAAAACTCCTTCTCACTCTTCTAGAGCTTCTCTCTCTTCAAGAACAAAGCTTACCTATCTTTTTAATAAAGCAACTAGGGTAGAAACACACTCTAAATAGATCAAACCTAAGAGAGAAGGTGAGTAGGGAGAGAGAGAAGTCGGACCTAGGGTTTGGAATCAAAAAGAAGATGAAAAAGACTGATCAAAACCCGCTGCTACGTATATAAACTGGACAGGCTCGCTCGAGCGAATACATGGTCGCTCGAGCGACCAGACACACGAAAACCACGCTCGAGCGAAGAAAAGCTCGCTCAAGCCAAGAATGCAATGCTACAGGTCTGCAACCCTGGAGCACGCTCGAGCGACAGAATGCTCGCTCGAGCAAGGAACTCGAAAACAAACACCTCGCTCGCTCGAGCGAAGAGACTCTCGCTCGAGCGAATAAGCACTGCCCTCAGGTCTATACCAGACGCAGTCGCTCGCTCGAGCGAAGCAAATCTGGATCGAGCCAGAGGACACAAAAACAAACCTCACTCGAGCGACCAAATCCTGGCTCGAGCGACCAACCTAAAAACTGGACAGCAACACTTGGTTTACGAACCCAACCAACCTGAAACAAACCTGCCCAACACATCCTATAACTCCAAATGAGAAAATAAAGGACGACAACAACAAATATACAATGACTGAATAAACGGAACCCAAGTCCGGATACAATAATCAAAAGGGAAAAGACCGGGGTCGCTATAGAAAGGATCCCAAACGATGCCTAAATATAAAATAAAATAAAATAAACACTAGTGTGATAGCATGGAGTGCTTTAAGGTCATGTGTTGTTATCCTGATTCATGGGTGGGTGGGATTGGCTTAGGATTGAAATAGACCCCACATATATCTTGTCTGTTTGGTTTATGGACTCTTGGATTATCACTTCAAGGGGATTGTTAGTCTTAGACCATCTCAAATGGTTAAATAAACGTATTACCAAATTTCAATTTGGTAAAATAGTACATTGTTTTTTGTTCCAATGGTTTTATCAATCCGATGTCAAATTGAGAACAATCTCAAATTTTTACCAAACTGAAAATGTGTTGCAGTGTTCAGCAAATTACCATGCGTAGCCGTTGAGTGGGAATCCACTGGATGTCCGGCTAGATGACCACCTCAAGCAAAATTTTGTGAAAATTTTACACTAGGAGGTCGACTCTCTCTTTGTTTTCTCAGTAAAAAAAAACTTAGGGAAAGTGAGAAAGACAATATACCTCAATTGGAGCTATTCATAGTGGAAAACCAGCACCATTTGTAATATACGAAGTTGAATTCATCACAAACAAAGATCGAAATATATAATAAATGACATATATAACTAGATTTGCCATCAATCATCACCGATCGATACATATCCAATGAATTTGCAAAAAATGAAATCACGCGAATTCGTGGATTGATATAAATAACACGATAGTATACAGAGAGAGAGAGTAGTGGAGGTGATTGAAGTTTACCGGGTTCAGTTCCATGAGAAATGAAGAAGAATTTACAGAAATCAAACGCAACTCTCTTTGTTATGTATGTGTCTTCCATTTTCACTTTCCGATTGACCGGTCGGTCGTCCCCCTGACGTCCACTTAGAATTAATGAAAGTTACATTACACCGTTGGAGCCGCTCATAACAGATTGAGGAAATAGTCAATTTTTTACTTAAATTTGGTGAAAAAAATACTAAACTGTTGGAGATGCTCTTACAGAGTGATGGGATTGGGATGCCTTCAATACAGGTGGGATTGAAAAACTAATTCCACGACACTATGTTCAAGGCTTTTTTTATTTTTATTTTATAATAGTGTGTTTGTAAATTTTTTATTTTATTTCTTTACTAATCATCTTTCATACTATCATTAAAATAAATATACTTTTACTCTATTCTATCATTAATAATTTTTATATTAATAATTTATTCACTAATTATTTTTTCACTAATAATCTCACCAACCTAAATCCGTTAAACAAATACAACGTAAATGATGCAATTGATCACTTTGAATGGGATTGGAGCCTGTAGGGGTGTTCGCGGATCGGTTTTATGCGGTTTGCGGTTCGGTTTTGACCCGCCCGCATCTATGCGGTTTGGGAAAAAGTCAACCCGCAACCGCCCGCAGTGCGGTTTGCGGTTTGTGCGGATAGGGTTTGCAAATGTGCGGGCGGTTGCGGGCGGTTTGCGGTTTACACTTTTTTCTTTAAAAATTAATTTTCGAGTTTTTTTTTTCCCAGCGAATTTAGACATCAAATTCATTTTATATATTTGCGATAACAATTTTTTAATGAGTTTACAAATAAAAATTGAATATCAATGCATTAAATGAAAGTGCTCAAAACAAAGAGACCCTACA